TGCAAGTGGTTAGATAATCAGGGATTGGCAAATTGTGAGAATAACTAGAGGGTGGGTGAAGTGTTGAATACTGGAGGAGGAGGAGAAGGGCCATTTTAGTCTTTGAAAAGTGGCATCCCTGGGGCCCTAAGGCCCTTGGCACCAATCATATTAAAATGGCTTCATAATCAACATTATGACTGACATAAGAGCTGAGTTGAGTGCCTTGGGCTGGAATTAGATAGTGCAATGTACCTATAGATATGGTCCTAGGACCAATGCCAGGCCAGGAAGAGTTTGCAATCAATTTGTGATGAAGTAAGTACAGAACATGGGACAATGTCACAACAACTAAGCATGTGATCACTTTTTAGTAATTCCTTTTTATTTTAATTTCCAAAATAGTGGTTATAATACATTAGTCCAAAATACATCAGAAATCTTTAATTTCCATGGTCCAAAACTTTTAAATACATTGGAAATGTTTGTTTAAAAGTGAGAAGCTTTGGTCTGCTTGAAATAATAATATCTTTGAATAAATTTGAAATTGAGATGATAGAGGAAAGAGTCAGTGAACTTGAAGACAGAGCAATAGAAATGACACTGTTTAAACTGCAGAAAAAAAGATTAACATCTGGGCTTAACATCATATATAAAGTATAGTAAATTGTGCCAGAATAGTCTGACTTAGTTGGAGATAATTTTGTGGCAAGTGCATAAATTACCTGAAATGAATCTAAAACAAAACAGAATGTGTGTGTGTCGGCGGGGGGGGGGGGTATTAGATGGTTATATAAACACCTTAAGGAATTTCAGGGCACCACTGGCTGTCATGCACAATGGAGTAGGAAATGGATAATAACTATGCATCAAGGCAGTTTCTTTCCCCTTCTCTCTCCCACTCCCTGCCGTGGTAGATCTGTTGCACCATCCAGATCCTCATTCAGAAATAAAGGTCTCATTTTCCTAGCTGCTGGTCATACAGATAGAAGTGAGGTCTAGGCTGTCTGCCATCTTTGGGGATTGTTTTGGCTAAGCAACAACCTCAGCCAAGTCCATGCTTCCCTCCAGGAATAGCTGTGTCCTATAGCTAACTAACAGGGAGGCTGAGTATCTATAAAGGTTGGTCTTCTTGTTTTACTCGGGACAACTGAGAAAATACATCTCAGCCCCAGAATCCCTTCAGGGTTGCCTGAGGCTCTTGGTAGAACTGTGTCATAGCCAAGCTTCTCCTTCTGCCCAGTCCTGTTTCTGCCCAGGTGTTGACCTCAAAAGTACTCTCTGATAAGTGTTTGCACATAGGTTTTGGAAAGTTGGGGTCTCAGGCACCCACCTTGGATTACCACCACACCTCCAGATCTTCCTATCACTGTTCCTCCTGCTTGCTCCTTCTTCCTTTCCTTCCTCTTCCTTTTCTTATCCCTGCTTTCTCTTCTTTCTTCTCTGTTCTCTTCTTTGACTATGTAGTTTCTCAACTCTGCTTTTTTCTGAGCTTCTATATCACTCTGTTCTTTTTTTTTTGATAGGGTCTCGCTATCTCAGGCTGGCCTGAAACTCCTCATTCTTGCTTGGATTACGGGCATATACACCACCACACCTGGTTTTTCTTAATTTTCTGACCAGCTTCCTGAACCACTATGCCCACTCCCCAGTCACCTCCTCATAGTGGCATATGCTCTTGGCACCCCACCTAGACTTTCTTTCCTGCTCCGATGCACCTATCCTGCAGCTTCTGTGGGATCAATGTTGCTCAACGACGGCTCATGTGTGCCATTCCCTGGAAGACTGTCTTTAGCTAACTGGAACTTTCTTTCTTGGAGCTGCTGGAGAGGTTATGCCCCATACTGTTAGTCCAGTGATGATCTGATGACAAGAACAGTAGTCTATCTTTCATATCTTGAGGCAGGACACACCAGGAGGTACTTGTGCTCCTGAGTCTCATGGGATCAGGCTGAAAACAGGATTCCCTATATTGTTCCTCTTACTCCTCTTTGGTTCCATCCAAAGCACACTCCCTCAACAGATCCCTCTGCTTCCAAGGAGCCTGATTAGCTGGCAAATCTGGTACCTGTGGCAACTGGCCTGCCCTCTACTGTTCTGATTCCAAATATCCAGGAGACAGGACTGGCTGTCAAGTCAGCCAAGCCCAGTTTTTGTACAGGTCTAATCACCTGTGATGGAGAGGGAATAGAGTTACACAGGACAGGTAGGTGAGGGGCATAGGCTGTAACCCCTAGAAAAAGCTGGTCACTTCCTATGAAAGCAATCCTACCTCACGTCCTCCTCAGTCTTTCTTGAATTCATTTTTCTCTGTCTGTTCCTTAGTACCCATCTATAGTCCCAGGGTGGGGATGGAAAGTGAGTTTTTGAAAGATAGCACCTGTGATGGAGAGAGGACTGGGCTGAGCATCAGGAGGCCTGGATGACAGTCCTCACTCAGCCAGCTTACCTCGTAACTCTGGCTAATTAGAGTTGGTTTGTCAACATTGTGTTGCCAATGCTTTTCTGTAAACTAAGAGGGCAGAATCTAGGTTTGTAATCTCTGCGTGTTTGAACTCAACACAATGACTGGCACAGGGTTGGAACACTTGTATCATAGTGATGTGGAACAATCCTTTAAAAATGAAATGAATTACATAAAGACATAATAAGGTAAAGTGTGACCCAAAAGGGTACAATATCCTGGGTGTGGAGCCTATTAGCAATAACTGTCGCTTAGTGAATGCTCACTTGTGCCAGTTCTGAGGTAAGTACTTTATGTGCTTTTCTGATTACCACTTCTGTGTAATGAATCACACTAGACTTAGCCATTTAAAGCAACCACTTTATTTTGCTCACAGAGCAAATTTGGGCCAGGAATTTGGACAGAGCCCCATGGGGATGGCTTGTCTTTGCCCCATGATGGCTGCAGCCTCATGTGGGAAGGTCTGATGTCTGGTAGTAACTTGATAGCTGGGAATGGGATCGCCAGAGACACCCTTACTTACAGGACTGGTGGCGAATGATGGCTGTTGACTGACATGTCAGCTGGGGCAGTTGACCAAAGCACTCACATGTGGCTTCCTCATGGGACCTGACTCCAGCAGAGAATGGTGGTCCCAGGTTAGTAGGACTTCTTATGTTGCTACTTAGAGCGCCATAAGCAAGTGTCCCATTTATAAGGCAGGGCTTCATCGTTTTCTATGACTGAGCCTCAGAAGTCAACCTGTGATATTTCCACCACATTCTATGGGTTGACAGGCCACCAGCCATCCATATTAAGGATAGATGAATTAGGTACCATCTCGTGATAAGATGGGGGAAAGGACTCACAGAGCATGGGGGATGGGAGACACGGTGGTGGTCACATTTGGAAAACACAACCTGCCACTCTCTCATTTAATTCTCCATGTACTCTGTCATTAATCCTTTTCTTGTCCTTGGCTCAAATAGGTTAAGTAACTTGCCTGTGAGCACAGCCAGTACACAGCAGAGCTAGACTTAACCCAGTCTATACAAAGCAAATGTCCTCCAATAGCATCTGATGCTGCTTGTAGAAAAAGGAACAGAACAAAGTAAGAGGCATTCTAGGCCAGTGCTCCCTATGTGTAGAATTAGGACTGGGTAAGTATTCTCCATCACAGCCCTGATGTCAGACCTAACAGCTTTTCTATATGGGTAAAGAAACCTAGTTCTTATGCACAACTCCTCAGACTATGGCTTCCAGAAGACTGTGAGACTTCCATGTGCACCTCAGTCTATCAGATATGTACTGGGGAGAGGGACTGCTGTCTGCCCATCCCTAATCATGGTATGACAAAAATCTTGGGAATAATGAATAGATGCAAGGTCTTATCCCCTCCGTAAAGACAGCACACACAGCCAGTTTGTGCCAGGAATACTTGTCTGCCACCATTCTCTTTTAAAATCACATTTTCTTTTTAAGTCCAAATAAGGAAGAAATGTTCCTAAGAGACATCCTTGACACTCCCATGACAGTCATAATCTGGAATGTTCAGATGAGTCTTGGCACTCAGTGCTTACTCTGTAGGTTTTTGTGTTTTAACCCTTCAACTAGTTTTCTAAGACCACAGAGGGCAAGGAGCATGCCTTGCTCTTCCTTACTACCTACTCCCCTGCCACACTGCATTCTTAATAAGTGCTCAGTAAATTGACCAGTGAGGTCAAAAGGCCTCACAAAGTATACTATAAGAGGAGGACCCATATGCTTCTTCAAAAGCATGTTTTGAAAACCTGCTGTGTCACAGGTAGTATGCTAGCTACTAATCCAGAAGCAGGACTTTAGAAAATCAAATATGAGCCTTCTTGGCACTGCACAGCAAGTCAGTAACATCAAAACCAGAATCTAAAAGTGACGCATCCTTGATATGATTAAGAGAGCTAATAGCAAGCTGGGCACCAGTGGCTCACACCTGTAATCCTAGCTACTTGGGAGGCAGAGATCAGGAGGATCGTGATTCAAAACCAGCCTGGGCAAATAGTTCATGAGACCCTATCTCAAAAAACCGTTCACAAACTTAGGGCTGGTGGAGTAGCTCAAGAAGACATCTCATAGCAGGCACATTTGAGACATGTTCTGTAAGGTTACAATCTCTATCAGCTGTCAGATGATTCTAGACTCAGACATTTAGAAAGTCCCTGAATAGGAGTTTATAATCCTAAATCTTAATTCTTCTTGGAATTGGGATGGAGCTATCAATAAGGCAAGGATGGATCTTCCTGTTCTTTATTTCAAGTTGGTTTCTTGTAGTAGGAAATATTTCTCTACTCTTGTAATTTGTCACCATTTCATCTCAAATGTCCCTAAAAAGTCAGGACTTCTGGAAACACCTTGGAATGTTCAAAATCACCAAATATAGTCACAGATAAAGCCATTTATAAGCCTGATTACGGGAAACCATTTTCATTGTTTTATCTTCACTCATTATTCACACCACTAATCCTTGATCCAAATATAACCCTATGGCATAAAAACTATTTCCTCAATATACAATCAGCAAGAATAAAACAACTCCTGTAAATAATCACCTTTGGGATATGAAAGAAAATGTAAACATTTTATTTGGCAGTTGTTTCTGAACACATGAATAAATAAATGGAAAAGTACATATTAATATTTCTTTTTGGAATAACAGATACCATTAAACACTTATTTACACATCTTCACTGCAAAGAACAGTTACACGATTAAGTGTTGTCTTATAAAAGGTAACTTTCCACACCACTGGACTGAACAGTTAAGGATGGAGACACTGGTAGTGCTTGGTTCTAGCAGTCTCGATGTTTAAAAGGCATTCATTTGCAAGTGCAATAAGAAGAGTCATCATGCATTGAGTTCATCCAGGTCATGGATTGGAGAATGTTCCTGATGGCAGCCGTAGAATTTGATGTCTCATGCGCTTAAGTCAACTATGACATGTTTGTAAATCTGTGTATTTCCCTTAAAACTGGAAGCAAAAAGAAAATTACGCTTATTAATGGACACATGTGTGAATGACCTTGGTGCCTGAACATTTAATTCCTGAAATTTCACAAATTTGGATTTCTCTGCATCCCAGTTATATACTTGAGTAAAGGAGTAATCACTTCCAAGAATTGCATATTGGTAATTATTTATCTGAAGAGGCTGGAACACCATGGATCCTCGTGATGGCATCCTCTGAATATCTTGGAACGAGGAGCCTCCCCATTTCATGACTTTGGAATCCCCAATGAATCTGGTCAAGCAAATGTACACGTCACCTTTCACTGAGAAGTGCTTTACTGCATAAACATCCTCCATGTTAGGAATGTCAGTTTGATTAGTGAATAATTGCGTTGCTTTGTTCCACTGATAAATTACAGGACGTTGGGAACTACTGGACAGGATTAAATGAGGCGTTCTGAGTGTCAGAGGTGTTCTGGCTATTTCTAGATATTCCACATCAGTGTCCCTGTACCAGGCATGTAAGGATTGATGGGAGTAGAATCCATTTCCATTCCATTTATAAATGGTAGTAAAACCAGCTTTTGAACTGTCAGCAACAACAAAGTACCAGTTGTTTTCAATCTTGAATGTTTCAATATCATTGGGTTTTCGGATTTTGAGAATTTCAATATCCTGAATTTTTATGAATTTGTTTGCAAAACCATCTCGCTTATAGATATGAGAGCCGCCAAACAGCTGAGCCACAATAACATAGAGCTGGGTTTCAATGACTATAGGCTTGCACACTACAGTGGACGTGCCTGGGAAAAGACAAATGAGAGATTAGTTGTGTGGCTTTTCTCTTTGGAACATGTAAACATGCAGGCTGGGGCCATGCAACTTCCACTGAACTCAGCCCAAAACAAGTGATTTCCTTGATTAGGAAACACCAGTCTCCGGGGTCAATGGCAGCAGTGTGCTGAGGTTCTGCACCTTGTCATCTCACAGGGTCTTATTCCTGACAATGAAGTTGTATGTCACATCCAACCTGCTCTATATATTCAGGACACAGAGGCACAACCTGAATTTTCTCCTCTTGCTTCTTGAAGAAAGTGCTTTTTCTGGCACATCATAAGTTAATCATAGCAATTCTAATTAAAAATTATATATTGAACACTTACTATGTGCTTTGTTAACTCTTCCCATTAAAATCTCCAATCTTAAGAGATAAATATTGTTATCTCCCCTTTTCCAGATGAGCAAACTAAGCCCAGAAAGGCTAAATTCTGCTACCAGAGGCAGAGTTGGGATCCGAACTCAGGTCTACCAGCATCTTTATAGACTTTTAACCCAAGCTGAGGCAAGGTTAGCTGTTCCAGGGCTTACAACTTGGGCTAGAATCCCAGAAGGTTCTAGAACTTCCCTACAAAGCTAGAGTAATGGCTTGGGCTCTTCTTGTAATCGGTTTGTTCTACGTGTGCATTAGTCCTTACTCTAGAGTAACTGCGGTTGCTCTAGAATCCCCCGAGGATTCACTTTTCTGGAGCTTTAGGTCACTGGTTGCAGGAGAGAAGAGAAGGAAAAGGAATCTTTGAGAAAAGCAATACCAGAGGTATACCCATGGGAAATGCTCCTGAAAGTTATTTTGTGAAATCTCAGGTAATAACAAGAGATTACAGGGGCTTGGTAGTGACCTTGTTGGTATCCTTTTGCTATAAGTCTGACATTTATCAATAAAATGATCTCCCAGAGTTTGTTGAGCTCTAGGAAATTCATAGGTAGGCAGAGAAAACTGTACCCTAAATTTTTCTGATTCTAGCTCTAAGGCTCTGGGGCAAACAGCTCTATATGAACTCTCTCTACTATTTGGCTCCATCCAGTGTCAAAATTATTTTCTTTGTGACTCTTCTCAGAGCTAAACTGATTTTGTGACCTTGGGATTCCGTTTTCTCTTATGTACAACAAGGGTTCAGAATAGATCAGGGATGGTCACTAGACTTCACCCTACCTACAAATTTTAATTGACTAGCTGGTCCTGACTGCCTGGAGAACTTACGTTGAGGAGTCTGTAGATAGGTCTGCACTCTGCAAGAAAGAGGACCATGATTGGGCAGCGACGTCTGTCTGGTAAGGCAGAAAATAGTGATCTCATATTTAACATGTATTTGTCATGTCCTATGATTTAAATGTTTGTATACCTCCAAAATTTATGTTGAGAATTAACCTCCAATGCAATAGTATTAAGAGTTGAGGCCTTTAGGAGGTAATTAGGTCATGAATTCAAGCCCTCATGAGTGAGATTAGTGTCCGTATAAAAGTGCCTGAGGGAGTCTATTTAGCCTTTTTTCATGTATCTTCTAACCATATGAGGACACAGAGAAGGCACCATTTTTGAAGCAGAGTAAGTCCTTATGAGACCAAATCTGCTAGCACCTTAATCTTGGACTTCCCAGCCTCCAGAATTGTGGGAAATAAATTTGTTCATAAATTATAAAGTCCTAAAGAATTCTTGTTACAGCAGTAGGAACAAACTAAGACACCACCTTAGCTGGGAAAATTTCTGAGTGCCCTCTGCAAGTGCATGATTCATTTCTGTTTCAAGTGCTCATCTAAAGAGTCATCCAGAGCAATTGATGGACTGTATACAGAAGAAACTGGTTTAGATAGATTGCATGAAACCCTGCTGTGGCCCATTGGAAAACTCAGGGAGAAAGGGAAGCATGACCTCCTTCCTTGAGAAAGAGGGGGCTTCTAGAAGGGTCTCAGTTTGTAGGGATCCCTTCATCTGGGTAACCTCAGTCCTCAGTAAGCCCAGGATTCTCTTGAGCTTTGGTGAATGGATGGGCCTGATGGTTACCAGCAAAATCTAAATTATGATCCTCCACATTTTGTCTTTGGATGACCTTTTATGGGGGAGGTTTGAGTGCTTTTGGGAGCAGAATCAAACGTGTTAGAAGCTAAACTAAAACTGATATAAACATTTCAGAATTATTTTAACATATGACTTACAAGTTTAAAAACAGTTAAGTTGGGAAGGAAACTTAAAAGATTTCATAAGTAATAATTTTCATGGAAAAAATTGGATTCTCTGCCAAGCTGAGTGAAAAATACTAACAACAGAGTTCCTCACTGCAGTCTACTCCAAAGAAGGAGACTATGAATCTCCAAGAGGGAGACATGGCTATAAAACCCTTTATGTTACAAGACATACGTTAATATTTTGTAAAAGAAATGTTTATATAACAAAGTTTTAGACTTTTTAAAAATAAGCTTCTTAAGCCAGCTGTGTGGTGGTACATGATTGTAATTCTAGCATTTGGGAGGCTGAAGCAAGAGCATCAGGAGTTTGAGGCCAACCTGGGTTACATATCAAGACAATGTCTCATAAAAACCTAAATAAATAAAATAACCTTCTGTTTTTAGAGTTAAGAAAAAGGGGGACTCAATGAGGGTGAGTGGTTTGCCCAGCTAGATTATGGCAGAACCTAAATTAGAGCTCAGTATTGTGATGTAATATGTAGTTTTGAAAAACAAATCTACTTTTTAAACTGCCAGGTACTACGCTAAGTTTCTTGAATCCGTGATCACAGTGTCTTATTAACAGCCCTGTGAGTTAGGTATTACTCCCATTTCACAAGTGTTTAGAGGACAATCGCAAGTCACGTAGGAGGGATCAGAATGCCTGCTGGCCTGCTCAGACCATTCCCTCATTCCACTCATTTTCTGTCACCCTTGGCCAAAGCAGTTCAACCTCCCGCTCAAAATTTTATGAAGTTTTTCATACCTGTAATGTTGTCATAATTCCGGAAGGTCTTTTCCACGTGGTCCCACTCAAGGAAAATGCATTTTCCAGTAAAAGGCTGAGCAATGACTACATACTCATCATTCATGTAAGAAAAAGTGTCTATGGACAGTGATTGATAAGGCAGGTCTTGAGACTTTGCAAATTCTGCAAAAATAGGAAATGATGAATAAATGTGGGCTATTATTAATACCTCTTTTCTTGGCTAGATCTCAAACTTCCATATGATTGACATTTATTTTAGAGAAATAATAAAATGGCAAATTTCCTTTGCTTTTAAACACATGAAGTTTTTTTTTTTTTTTTTTGCTGTGATTTGGAAAAAAAATTTTGTTCATTTATTCATATGTGCATACATTGTTTGGGCTATTTCTCCTCCCCTGCCCCCCACCGCCCCTCCCCCACTCCTTCCTCTTCCCTCCACTCCCCTCGCTTCCAGGCAGACTCTCTTCTACAATTTTGTTGATGAGAAGACATAAGCAATAATAAGAGAGACAGAGCATTTTTGCTAGTTTGAGATAAGGATAGCTATACAGAGATATTCCTAGCTTTGCTTCCATGCACAAGTGTATTACAACCCAAATTGATTCATCTGTACCAGACCTCTTCACTACTTCCTGGTCACCTTCCCATAGTGACCTCTGTCATCTTAAGGTTACTATATTAGCTCCCCTACAGTGGACACATCAAACACTTTTAAGTTTTGGGTTTCCTACTTTCCCTATTCCTCATGTATTCTCCCCTTAGTGTAAATACATGGAGTTTTAAAGGTTCATAATTTTTTAAAAATTAAACTGCTCAGATGGCTTTTAAGATATATCAAATATCAGTTCCTATACATGAAAAAAAAGTAGCCCTTACTTTTACACTATAAAATGACTTTAAGTATATTACCTGTAATGATGCAATCAAAGTCCTTGGGGGAGAGACTATTGATTTTGCGCTTCTTATATTCTGGGGGGCCTTCACAGTAGATGTCTTCGACAGTTGCATTGGTGTGGCCGAGCCATTCCACCAGCCACTTCAGTTTGCAGTCACAATTAAATGAATTCCCTCTCAGGTCCCTGAAAGACAAACCTCTGCTGCTTTTGCAGTACAGGAGCCCTGGCATGACACAAGTATGACTTCTACTTCAGCCATGTGCAAAACAACCTTATCTGGTTTTATATCATGCCCCATATTATGCCTAGAATTTTCAGTTTGGGCTCAGAGAGTGACCACAGAGCACCCTTAAAGACACCCCAGTCAACCTCATAACTTAATTCTCTTCTGTATTCAACAGTGGCTTAGTCTCAGGCAGTACAGTCAATAGATCTAAAAGGGTTTTTATTTTGTTTTTGGTTTTTTGGCAGTACTGAGGTTTGAACTCAGGGCTTCCTTCTTGCTTGGCAGGTGCTCTACTGCTTGAGCTATGCCTCTACTCCTAGTGCTGTCAACAGAAATAGTGTGTGAACTGCTTATGTAACTTAAACTTTTCTATAGCCATACAGACAAAAATAAAAAGAAATGGGTGAAATTAATTTTAATAGCATGTTTTATTGAATCCAGTATGTTCAAAATATTATCATTTGGATGTATGGTCAATGCAAACATTATGCAGATATTTTACATTTTTTATACTCTGTCTTTTAAGCCCATGGTGTATTTTATAATTATACTATACCTCAATTCAGATGTTAATTTTCATCAGAAATATGTGATCCATATTTAGATTTCATAAAATTTGTAGTTGAAAAAATAGATTAATGCATCAAAGTTGTTCAAAAATTACTTAAAAGTTTTCAAATAACTGAATTGAATAAAAGGTTTTAGATTAAAAGTTTTAAAAATTAAGGGACTGGGGTGTAGCTTCATGGTCGCATATTCAAGGCCCTGGGTTTAATCCTTAGCACCACCGAAAAAAATAAAATTAAATTAAAATTCAGGTCTGCAGTTGCACTAGCCCCTTTTTTTAGGTGCCAAGTGACCCACCTTAGTGCACAGCAAAGGTCTAGAGGACAGAGTATAGTGATTATTATACTGAATTTAATTAAATCAAGCGACCTATTTGTGCTTTTCTTCTTTACAAACACAATCCTGGTCTTATATTCCATGGTCTACAAATCCAGTTTTAATAGGAAATGACATTGCTGCAGCAGAGTTAATGCAGACATAAAACAGCTCATGCCTGTGATACACTATACAGCATAGTTTAAATTTCCACATATGACCCCAACTCACCAAGTTCTTTGTTTATTTGCATTGCTTCTGTTCAGGAATTCCATGTCCTTTTCTGGTCACACAGAATTCCTAAGATAGGTGCTACCTACTCTTCATGCAGCACACAAGTAAATTTTAGATACCCAAGCATTTAAAATGGTTTTTAGGGAATACATTCAAGAAAACCAAGAAATCCACTAAAAGGCAAAGTTGGCATGGATCCTTGTACTTCTAAGATAATTCTTGATTTTGGCATATCAGAGTAGGCCAAAGTTATTATGGGATTCCCTAGAGAGACAGAGCCAATTTCAAGAGTTAGACTGACACAAGGATGGAATAGAGCGCCCCCCTCCCGGCCATGAGGTACATCCGAAGTCTGGCATGGATCATCATCTAACTTCCAAGACATTCCCAGAACTGACCTCATCTCTCAAAAGCAATCTGACCCAGAATAATGAGTTCCAACCCTTCTGGGTTATTGTAAACCAGAGCAGATAACTGGATCTGTCCGGGTCTCTCTTGGAAGTGTCTTGATTCTGGCACTTTCCTGGAAATAAACCATCATTCAGGAATGGGGGTAATAGGCAAGGAGGAGGGGTTGGGGGCCTACTTCAAGGAACAAAAAAGTTTTTCATTAGCTTCCTGATTTGAAGTTAAATACTGGGCTTAGAAGAAAATTCTTGAGTCAGAATTTTTTATTGGAGAAAAGTTGTTTTGAATATATATTCTATAGCAAAGTGCCTGAATAGTAGAAAAAAATGTTTTCATAGATCCTTTCATTTGTTCTGATATTCTGCTTTATAGCATCTAAATACCCTGTTAATGTTCTGGAGGTGAAGCTAAATTGCTTTTGAGGGGAGTAGGCATATAGTACTTGCTTTGCTTACAGCAAAATATACAAATTCTTTGCAAAGATCTTTCACTCTGAGGCTTAAAAGTCAAAGTTTGAAAGCTCTTTTGTTTGAAAAAGGGTCAAAAATAATTAAATTCATTCCTTTCCTGGGGCTTAAGCCAAATTCCTGGGGATTAAGCCTAGAGTTGTTGTTCAGGCTAATAAGAGAAAAGGCAAACTTTCCTCCCTTCCCCCACTTCCTGCTTCATTTTTCTGTTGACTGACCAACCCATGGGTGTAACCTTTCATCTTACTCTGTCAGTTTCCCAGACTCCTTCATGTTTTTTCTTTGTAGCTCCATTTCCTGGACCTCATGAGAAAAAAGGGGTCTTGAAGTGTCTGTGGAGGTCTCCTCTTCCCACCCCTGGGAGATCCTTATCATCACCCCCTCACAGACAGGCAAATACTTTGTCAAAGTAACGCCTGGGTAATGTGTATTCAGAATTTCCCATGGTAAATAACAGAGGAAACTCATGTAAATTTAAAATTTAGGCAAATTTAAAATTAAAATTTATAAGTTCAAATTTAATTTTAAAGCCAATTAAAAATTCTAATCATCAACACCAGATTTCTCATCAATTGCTGCAAATTAATTAATCACTGATTTCTTAGGTCCTCTTACACATTTGTTAAAGAATCCAGGCCTTTGAAAATATCTTTTGGAAGTGTCTGGAGATTGTTGTTTGCGAGACTCCTGGGGGGAAAAAAAAAGAGTGGTATTAACTAGTGATAAATAAACGCATTTTTGATAAGTCTTAGTTGATTCCCTTTTGTCATTTCCAGTCTACTGTTACTTGTTGCACTTTGTTTTTTCTTCTAAGATATTACTCAGACTTCTGCTGTTATATTTTCAATTTTTGGCCTTTTTGTTGGAACTCTCACTCAGTATTTATGTAACATTTCTCATTGTTTAAAGGCAACAACAACAATAACTAGCATCAGAATAATGCCTGGACATTGCTATTTAGAAAATGTGATTCACAAGTCTCAGAGATTCGGTCGAGGGGATGAATGACGATTCACTGAACTGGTGGTAGTAACCCTCTCCAAATGCCCTCTCCTCTAGCTTGGGCTGAGCCTTTCCACCCTGCTCCTCTTCTCTTGCCACAGAGAACAGCTAAACCTCCAACCAATGGTACTGATAACTCTATGGCTTTGCCTCCCATTCTTCTTTCCAAAGTATGTGTAGACCTTTTCTGGCTTTTACCCTTTAGCTCCATTCATTCCATCTCAAAAAAAAAGCTTTCTCACAAATACTCCTCTTTTATCAGCTTTTTTCCCCTTCTTCTAGTTCTTGCCCAATTACCACAGCAGCAATTGTTCTCTCTTTCTATTTGCTTTCCTGGAACAATTCCAGTCCAGGTTAATGAGCAAAAGTGGTTCTATTAGTATCAAGGAAAGGGAACTGTGTACTTTACAGAAATGTAGATATAAAAAAGTACTGATGCTGTATCATCAAGGAAGGGGACCAGGTACTGAAATTTTCTATTTTTAGCCAGCACATTTTATATACTTTTCCTAGGGGTATTTATTTTCACAATAAAAATAAAAACTAAAAAAAGCCTATGTTGTTGGCCTCCATAGTCCTTGAAATTCCGCACAACTTTCTTTCAAAACACTGTCAAAAGTCTTCTATGTCTTCCACCTCTTCTGATTATGAGATTTCTCAAGTGCTAACATTTAAGACTTTTAGAACTTATTTTTAAGTTAATTATGTTGTTTTAGAAATCACTATTAGATGAGAAAACTTTTTTTTCCCAATGAGCTGTTGAATATAAGAATGGGAAAAGAATTAGAAAGTAGATTTTGTGATGAAAGGCATAGTTTTGGAGTCATTCTGAGCTAGCTTGGAATCTTGACTCCACCATTTACTGGCTCTGTGACTTTGGGTTATGCATTATCTCCAAGACTCATGACCAAGTTTGGATCTGGAATGTTCCTTAAAGGCCCATGTGTTAAAGACTCATCTCCCCATCTCGCTGGTGCTGGTGGAAAAGTTAAGAACGGGACCTAATGGGGAGTCACTGGGGGCGTGCCCTTGAAAGGGGGTTGTGCGATGCTAGTTCCTTCCTAGTTCTTTCATTTTCTGCATATACGTTTAAGAGTTTTGCTCCAACACATGCTTCCAACGTGATGTGTTGCCACAGGCTCGAAGGAATGGGGCCAACCAATCATGCAGCAAAGCCTGAGCAAAAACTGAGCCAAAATAAACCTTTGCTCTTATAAGCTGATCATCTCAGCTATTTGTTATAGTAGCAGAAAACTGACTAATATAACTGAGTTGATTTTTCAATTTGAAGTGGAAATAACCAGTATCTTATTTCATAATATTGTTGGAGAAAGAAAATGGGGTAACTCAAGATAATGCCTCAAATCTAGACTACTCTCAATAAGGAGTAGCTTAGAGGAGGGGAGAGAAAAAGGGCTTCTTTTCTTTTGTCCAGGAAACAACATTTAGAAAATTGACCATATGAAAGAAGTGACATGATGCCCTTGTACAGCATCACTAATGAAATGCTGCTAATGAACACTATGAGTGGAAGATAGAATGGAGCTTCATGTCTAGGTTTGGTGAGTGATAGGCCTGAAAAGGCTGGACTTATAAAAGAAGCAAAAGCAAAAGAAAGTGAGACACAGAAATGAGAGAAAGGCTTTCAGAGAAGGCCTATGAATTAAAGTTCAGATAGCTTCCCTCCTCTCTGGAAGGCCCCAATGACATCAGGTCACATTTGCATAAACAGAAAGCAGGCAGAGAGAGTTGGACAAGAATGACTTAGGGAAGCAATGTGGACAGAGACTGGAAATTTTCTGCAAAAAATGTAAGAGCGTTCTGATATAAAGCAACCTTCTAGTGCAGGCTAACTGGTGTGGGTTGAAGGATACATCAGGCACAAGGAAGGGGATCAGCAAAACCTGCAAAGGTAAGATGAGAAATATGAAGTGGCCCCACATGGAAGGAAGTATATCTCAGCTATGGCTGGTTTAGACAGTTCATCAGTTTCCAAGTGAAGATACGCTGGAAATATTAATAGCCGAGTATAGAAATGGGGAAAGTTATTTGATCTAGCATTGTCTACAGCAGCAAAGAATTGGAAACCATATACATGTCTATTAATAAGGAATTGTGTAAATAAATGATGGTTCATACTTAACATGGATTATTTTGTAGACTTTTGAAAATGAGGCAGAACTCTATTATTTAATAGGAAATTGATGCCTAAGTAAAAAAAAGAAAAATGTAGAGTGTAATCCACAGGCAGAGAAAGGATATGACTGTAGATGCACATAGAAAGCTCTACAAAGAGATCTATAAACTGTTGATTGAGGTGACACCTTGGAGTGAATTTAACTGGAATCATTCACTTTGCTATAAAAATGTCTAAATTGTAAGAATTTTTATGAGCAAGCATGTATTATTATTATTTTATAATCAGAAGAAACAAAGAATGAAATTGATTCTTTTAAGGCACCCTGTTACTTAGCACATGTGTGTGTGTGTGTGTGTGTGTGTGTGTGTGTGTGTGTTTCCATCCAGGAAGGATTCAGTCACTCTAAATCAATCACTTGGCTGTATGCATCAGGTCCCATAACTACAAATCTACCCATGGGAGTGACTGACATATTCAGCATGGGGTGCTTGAGTGGTCAGATCAGGCAAATGTCTTTCATGAGATCTCCTACAGGATGGAGCTGCCTTGTTTCCCCCAAAGGTCCCACACATTTCAGGCCCTCACCCTCAGGGGAGGTTTGAGACTACAGTCAGCCCAGACTTGGAGCCATCACTGTGTTTCCTGCTCTGGTTAAAGCCCACAGTGTGGAGGCTCCCACAGCCTCCAAACATTATCACAAGCATTCAGAGAGATTATCCACAGGAGAGAGATGCCAAGAGAGGATTAAGGTTTGAGGCTAGGCTGGACAAAAAGTGAGACTTCATTCCAACAATCAAGTCAAATGATTCACCTCCGTAATCCCAGCTATGTGGGAGGCAAAGGTAGGAGGATCACAGTCCAAAGCCAATCCCTGGGCAAAAAAGCTCAATATTCTATCAAAAAAAACCAAAAAGGGATGGGGGCATGGCACTTGTCTGGCAAGTGTGAATCCCCGAGTTCAAACCCCAGTACTGCCAGGAAAAAAAAAATATGGCTTTCATTAATTGTGAGAATTAACACATGTAGCTACTAATATTTTTGTATACCCTCATTTTCAATGGATTCTAGGAAAACTGCTATATCTGCAGGTTAATTCTAAGGTTTATGTATGTCAAGATCCCAAAACAAATCTTTTTCTTCGTTGTTATTATCAAAAATAGTGGTATTTTATACCTAAGCACCCTAAAACACTCAATTCAGGAGGCTGAGATCATCTCTTCTGTCTCTCTTAGTAGAGTGAATTCTGTGCTTTGGTATCCCTACAGGTCCATTTTTTACTTGTATTTACACACACATGTACACATATAATAGTTATTATTTTTTGACATCAAGAAAATTTGGAAAGTACAAAATTTTTTTTAAAAAAAGAGAGAAAAAGAACAATCCTCCTGATAGAGGCATCCACTGTTAAGATTTAGTCTTATCTTCTTCTAGTCATTAATACAGAGCCCATCCAGAACAAGTGATTCTGAGGAGTCATGTCCTCTGTTCTCTAGAGGAGATGGCACAATGAGTGTAAGCATGAACTGGGGTGTCAGATCTTCCTCCTCAAAGGTCTGTTAGCAGGGAAACTGACGAGGGCAAGCGTTAAAGCAAAGCTAATTTCAATACTAAACAGGAGAAATCCTACTTCTTAGGATAAGAGGAAGAAAGATTCAGCAAATGAAGGTGAAAGAGGCAAGGAGTCACAGGTGGCTGCAGACTCGGCAAGAAAAAGACTGTGTATGTGGGATGTTTTAAGGAAAACAAGGCTCCTGTCTTGGCCCACTCCACTTGCACCCCTGCCAGACGCTAGGGCTCCCTCATCAGCAACAGAGTGCAGTGGAAATGGGATGGGCTGGGAAGAGGAGATCTGGTTTTCTGTTCTGGCTATTTTCTATGATGTCAATGACTCCTTGGTTAGAATGATCTGCAAGTTCTATTCTCACTCTTAAATCATTCCTTAATAATTTTTTACTGTAAGAGGCTTATAGCTTCATCTTTAATAATAATCGGATGATGCTAGAAGTAATACTTTAATCCACATTGTTAAGAGGCAGCAGTCTTTTCTAGGAGGTAGAGGGCACACTGAAATATCTGGTGTGGGTGGTTAGAGTGAACACAAGGACAATGAGAGGTTGAGAAAACACTTCATTCCAGTTAACTCTTTCCAGCATGAGGCTACCAGAGTACTGGAAGGATGTTTTTTTCTTTCCATTGTACTCCCTGTGCCTATGTCTTCCCTGGCATAGAGTAAGACTTCAGTAGACACTTCTAAAGGAAGGAGGAAGAAAAGGAAGGAAGGGAGAGGGGAAGATGGGAAAGAGGGAGGGAGGGAGGAAAGAAGGAAGAAAGGAAGGAAGGAAGGGGGTTTGGAGTGAATGAGAGGAAGGGCAGCAAGCTAGACAAAAGAGCAGCAAATGCTTCTCTCCCACCCCTGTGCCAAGACAAGGAGTTAAGGAGAAAACATAAAGTACTTTGAATTGCCATTGCTGGTACCACCACCATCACCACCACAGTGTAAGAAACTGTTCTCAATTGCCCTCCTTTCCTCCACCCTCACTGCGCTGATAACTCCATAGCCACGCAGAGATTCTTGAAAGTGTGACTTTCATTCAGAGTCTACCTAAGAAGCATCCTTTAAAAATTCCTGATATTGTCCAACCAAACATCTTGCCGCCTTGAAACTGAGTAGGGTCAGCCATTCTCAAAGGCAGACAGCCCTCCTTCCCAATGGAAATGGTGACCATTCCCTCAACCTTAGTGTTCTAATGGCTTATCTGAGAAAACCTTGGATCAGGGCTGTGGAACCCACTGGAAAGTCTTCTGTCTAAGGAATACCAGACTGGCTCAGACAGCACGTTTGTTTCAGTGCCACAGGGCTGTGCTGCTAAGAAAGCAACACCCACAGCCATCTGGGGTGCTCCCAGCCCCCTGCGATGCAGATTCTCAGCTTGGGTTTGTGTCTCGCTGAACCTGTGGTATTTCAAGTGCAGTTATTTTGATTTCATCTGAAACTTCTAAAGGGGATCAGTACACTGCAGCACTAACAGTACGTAGGCAGTGAGTTTCAGTTTCTTCCCGGACAACGGTGCTTACTATTCCGCTCTTACTTTGCAGATGTTGACTGATATAACCTTAGGAGCTAGACAGCCCTGAGTACCTTGTTCTTTTTCACTCTCATTTTTACACATGAGCATTCTGGGACATAGTAGGGCTAAGTGATCTTCCTGAGGTGCCCAGGGCTTGAGTCCAGGCAGCCTGGTGGCAGAAATTCCCCTCTCAGCTGCCACATCACACCACCTCTTTACATAGATGTCAATGTAACAGCTAAAACCAAAGACATCCTGCATAATTGATTGGGGGTCAGGCATCCTCACTTTGGGAACTATTACATACTTTTCATACCTCCAGAGTACTAAGCAACCAGCAGTGGGTTAAGTTTATTATTAGGGATGGACTGAATTTAAATAAATGCTTAGGTAGGTCTCTAGGAACAGCTTCACAGTTAGGTTACAGTGGGAACTAGCTGGATCAAATCCCAACTCTCTTCATTTGGAGACTAAGAACAGAGACAGGGCTCTTGTCTTTGGGCTCTCTTTCTTCTTTAGTCATATCATGTCCTGTGGAATGATCGAGTCAGCTCAATGAAAGCTTCCGGTCCTGCTCTTACTGACCTGGTAGAGCCTCACTGGATACCTAGATTTTCTGCTGACTAACTGGGGAGTAGCTTACACTCAGGGTATACTTTCATGCTCACATGCATCCATTTTAAGGTCATCTGGAGACTATAACAGGATCAAAAGTATCAAACAGCTTTGTAAACTCTTCCTGCAGTGTAGCAGTTTAGAAGGCAAGGTAATAATTCCTCACTGCTTGAATGTTTGCCTTTCAATTGGGAAAAATCAGTCAGAGATGGAAAAAAGTGCACGTTGAAGCCTATAATCTTAAAAAGGAAAGTAATAGCTCAAACAAATGCCAGATTTATTTATTAGCAGCAAATAGAGGAAAATGAACTTGACGTACTGAGCAGGCAGAGGGACATTTGGGTTCCAAATGCTGCCTACTCCATCTCTCCTTAAGCTGAAGAAAGGAAGTAAATATACCTTGAAAAACACCATAATTAGAAAGGAGAATAAAACTTGGAGACAAAGGCGCCCAATGAGAAAGCATTTCTTTGCCTAATTCCTCTTGCTAGAATGAGCTTCTCCAGGGTGGAACTGGATCTGACTCATCTTTGTGGGTCCTATTCCTTGTAAAGTACAAGTCACATCCTAGAAACTATTTAGAATGAACCACATGGTAGTGCCATTTTTGTAGACTGAAACAGTCTGATATTGGCAGTGCCATATGAATCCACATAATAAATGTTAGATAAAGATGCAAGAGACCCAAGAGTCATATTTGTTCAATCAGCCTCAACCTCCTGTTCTCTCACCACATTAAGAATTAGCTCAGGGAGGTGGGACATCCTTTTCACCGTATTTGTATGACTGTTAAATTCATGCCTGTTTTTGAAGGCTGCCCTTGGTGTTCCCTCGAACTTGAAAGTTTCTAGACAGCAACATGCTGTACCAGTCTCCTCTTTTTATCGTCTCTATACCAACCACTAAAGCAGGGGCTTTATTTTCATCCACATTTAAATTCATTCGATGAACACAATGGCTGTAGTCAAGGAAAATGTGTGTTCTTCACTATGGGGTTATGAAGTTTTTTCTCTCTTTTCTGTTCTCTTTCTTTTCTTTTCCTTCCTCCTCCCCTCTCCCTCCTTTCTCTGCCTACCTCCCTTCCATTCCTTTCTAGTGAGGTAGGAAGGACATTTCCTCCTGTTCTGTGTAGGAGGCCTGGTGAAGCCCCAGGCCCTTAGCTTGGGCAGGAGATGCGCCTGAGTGAACTGGGCACAGTAAAGCTTGTATTACAGGTTCCTGGAGAGGTTATAGGTCTTATATACTTCCTGTAGTCCCCTACCTCCATGCTGAGCATTGGACAAAAGTCCAGTCAAATAGGCCTCTGTATGTATGTGAATTAAGCAGATCTCTAATTGAGGTCATGGATAAACAATTCTCCTTGCGTACATTTACTTACTTTATTTTGTCAGAAAAATGAAGTTTGGCAGTGTTGTGCTCTATGATAAATTTGCGTAATGTTCATTTTGTTACCCAGTCGGTTTTGTATTATATGATGTCATTGACACAAAAAGCAGCATTGCAAATGCTGTTTTTGTTGTGATATGACTGTATACAGAAGTCTTGAAAGACATAATTTTATACGATAAATCAGACCATCACTTCCCCCTTGCTGCAAACCAGGCAGTGGGAGAGAATGTGGCCTGGTCAACACAGCAGGATAACCACATGGACACAGTGAGCTCAAGGGGCAGGTCTTCCTCGTCTGCTTTATTATCTGCTGCATAGTGGGCCTAAAACAGAGTTGGGAATGAGTTGCTGTGAGAGACCAGGGTAAGGTTGACAGAATGACTATGACACTTAGATCGCTTGCATCTTTACCTATCTAATGATATACATATTAGGCATTTGAGAAATGGTACCACTCAACTCCTGAGCTGATGTTCTTAAATTTCATATCTATTCACCATCATGTGTCCCCTTCAAGGTTCTTTTTCCTCATCTCTAATATGGAGAGATGCTATGTCTACAGCATGTATTTTCCTTATTAATGTGTGTGTGTGTGTGTGTGTGTGTGTGTGCACATGCGTACACTCGTGTGTCTCTCTGTCTATCTTCAGGAGGTGGAAAAATCTAGAAGCAGCAAGTTATACAGTTCACGTTGTTCAGAGATTCCTCAACCTCCCCACTGTGGCATTTTAGGCTGGATAATTCTTGGCTGCGGAGGCCAGTCTGTGCACTGCAGATTGTTTAGGAACAGCCCTGACCTCTGCCCACTGGATGCCAGTTATAGTCCCCAGTGTGACAAGCAAACTTGTCCCTAGATACTGTTCAGTGTTCCCTGGGAGACAAAATTGCCCCCTGTTAAGAATGACTGCTAGAGCTCTAATCACCCATTAAATAATTAAATATTTCTTTCTTTCTTTCTTTGTTTTTAGGGAAAATGTGTTTTCCTTTGCTTTTTAAAAATTATTTTAATTGTACAGTGGGGTTTATTATGATGTTTTCATGTACCTTGATCCTATGCACCCTAAATATTTCATTTATAAAACAAGTTGTTCTTGTTTTACAAATTACCTATGGGCTATATTAGGTCATATATATATATAATTTTATATATATATATATATATATAATTTTATATATATATATATAATTTTATATGTATATATATATATAATTCAGGGCTGAATAGAAAAAGAAAAATAGCTAATATCAAATCAAATGCTATTGTCAACCCATAATTATCCATGAAGTGAGTGATGATGTAGATACTTAAAAAATTATTTTGGTCATAGAATTTCCCTGTGTTAGATTGCCTTTCTAATTATTGTGGGTTTAGGCTAAAAATGTTGATAGTAATCAATTTCCTGAGCACCTACTGACAGATGACAAAGAGCAATGGTGAGTTTGAATGGAGAAAAATTATTTGAGTTCTTAAATTTTCATGGGCACTCGTAATTGTGGGTGCTTTAACCATAGGTGATCGAATTGCATTAGCAAACTTAAACAGTAATAACAACATCCATACTTACAGGTGAATTAAAGACTTGAGTCCCCGGAAAGTATGTCTTGAAATAGACTTGATGTTGTTGTTTTCTATGAATCTGCAATAAGGTATAATATTTTTGGTCAAACAGCTGTTGAAAACTCAGAACACCTGCCCTGAATCATCATGTGAGGAAACTTTTCTTACTTACAAATACTCTAGATGTGGAAGACCAATAAAAGCATCATCACTGATCACATCAAAGGAGTTCGATGTGAATAACCTGCCCAGAAAAAGTACACAATGAAACAGTTAAACTGACAGATTGTCAATCTTTGTTGCTTTTATCTCTCCGAGAAACAACTGGGGAATGAATACAGAAAAATGTCCGTCTTCTACAGTATTATTTATGCAGAAAATCGCCACAGCTTTCTTATTCCTAATTATCTCCTTATCATATGCTCATAGGAAGGTGCTTTGTGCCTCCCAATGACAGCTGTCACATGCCCCTGAAAACATCTTGAGGTATAAGCAGAGCAGGTATGACAGCAGTGGCAACCAAATCAACATTTTGCATTCTTCAATGACAAAGACATTAACAGTTTTTATCACTGGCTCTGGAAACCTCTGGAATATTCCGATGGGCCAAAACAATGGTGTTTTGGGGGTTTGATCCTGGGAGATATAGAAAAATTTTGCTCTATGCCTGGCTGTACTGCAATAGCTCATATCAGACAGGCCACTGACACTGAATATCATATCACGTTCCTGAAAAATAAACATCAACTAACCTCCTTCTCTGGAAATAGGGCTGAGAGAAGATGGGAGCAATGAGACTTTAGAAGAGTCTTAGGGCATTTTATTACTAAATAGTTGAAAGAAATACTTCCACTTGGATAAATTTATTTGCAGCTTCAAAATCTACAGGGATCTAGTTTCAAAATTACTGATCAGACAGGACATCAACCAATTGTCCCCACACCCTATTGAACTCTTTGGAGAATTTGCCAGATTTTTGAATGAAAGTCTTGAAAGAAGTACTTTTATGCCCTATAGTAGAATTGTGTACAGGATAACTTAATAATAATAATAATAACAATAATAATAATATAATAGTAATTTTGTTAGTAAACTAAGGGGATTAAAACTGCTTTCTGAATTACTCTGGGATTGCATCAAAATAATCAGGGGAAAGAACCATCAAAAGGTTAGAGATGAACCGGGCATGAACTGATAATTTTTTAATTTGAAAGATGTGTACAGGGGAGTAAATTTTACTATTATTTCTATTTTATTGTCCATTGTTATACATACTTGCAATTTTCCATAAAAATAGAAGTGGGGTGGACAAACAAAATGGGAGAATCTCTTGAATTTCTTTCTAAACTATCAGTTCTAGAGTGGTGTTAGATTCCTTTCTAATCCTTCTTTCCTTTAATATTATAGCTTTACATTCAAGTAATGCACTAGGCTTTGAAAAGCCAATACTAATGACTCAGATGCAGATTAGAGTTTCCAGTTATTAAAGCAAATTCAAAAGTTCATGATTTCTAATCACAACTTTGATAACTGTCTCCTCTCACTTTATGATTCTGGAAAACACTATGATGCTTAGCTTTACCCCAAAGTAAGGTTGGAACCAAAAGACTTTCATAGGTTCCAGGTTTTTTGTTTCCTTCTGTATGGACAGTATCAGGGATGGAGAAAATGGAATAAGGTGGAAATAGGAGTATAGAGAAGTACCTCCTACACTCAATAGATTGAAAACCCACCCTACAGTTGACCAAAGATTTCATCATCTCTTACTCCAAGTTGCCAGAAGAAATAGCTTTCATCTCTAGCCCCTCCTGTGTTAAATCAGATGCAAGGCAGAGCAGAAAATGTGTATCAGCGGGTGTAACTTGCCATGCATGTCACTGAAATCAAAGAGAGGATTTCCACTAGAATTGTTATCTGCTGTTCATTGCTTATCCCTAGCACCTGTGTTTGGGCCTGTCTCATAATGGATATTGGATAAATATTTGTTGAACAAAGAAGAACTCACTTTATGTTAAATTCTGATCACTATGAGATTACTAGATTGAATGTTCTTTACAGCAGGGTCTTATGCTTATTTGTTTTGCTCAGCTCCAAGCATGGTTCCTGGTTAAAAAATGTTTATTGGACTAGATTTCAAGGACTAAAAACTCCAGCTAAAACTACAACTACATGCAAAAATGTGGATGAATATTTCAAGAAAAGAAGCTAGAACACAGTAGAGTACATCATATTGACTTCACTTATATGAAGAAAAATATACCTAGGATAAATCTATGCTGGTCAAGATAGTGTTTATTCTTGTAGGCTGGTTCTAACTGTGAGCACCAGGGTGTCTTTGGGTAATGTTTGGTTTCTTGGCCTAGGTATTGGTTCTAACAGTGTTCACTTCATAAAAAAATCAGGGACACTTATGATATATGTCTTTTTCTTTATATATATTATACTTCAATAAAAGTGTTTCTTATAAAAGCTTAAAAAATCCCTTTGTATAAGATAATAATGATTATCATATCCCTTAATTCTAAATTCAACGATAGCTTCTGTGGACAGAAATGCACAAAATTGTACATGCATTCTAAATACAGTTGAGTGAGATATCCATTTACTACCCTATATATATTGGAAAACACTCATATATCATGTTCTATAAAGAGAGTGAAACACCAATCCTTAATTTTTTATGGGTTCTTAGAAATGGTTTTGATTTCAATATTATGATTTGTGATGGAAAAGTATCCTACAGTCCCTGTCAAGGGAAATGGTGCCCACTCCATTCTTTTCCACACAACAGACCTGGGACAGACCAGCACAGCTATATTTTATACTACATAACCTCTGTCCCTTTCCACAGATTATTGAAACACTCAGCTTTTTTCCCCAGAGTAGCTAGTCCCTAGGTTGGGCAGCATTCCATGGCACAAATAGCCTGGTTCAAAAAGGTGAGTTGGGCTAAGACAATACCTTTCTTTTGGGATATAGAATCAGCAAATTAAAAAATGGACACAGTCTGCAGGGAAGCTGAAGGAACTAATTCCTCCACACTTAGTTGGATCGATGGCAGGCAAGAGGTGTATGCAAGGAACACACACGAGAAAGCATAACATGAAGACCTTGCAAAAGGAAGTGTGCTGAAGACTGACTGGGGAAGATGCCTAATTTGTGAAAGATTCCCAAGCCTGTGCTTTTCAATCTTGGTTGCACTTGGAATCGCCTGGGAAGCATTAAAAATACTGGCAACTGATTCCCACCCTCAAGGATTCTGGTTAAATTCTATACCTAGAGTGTGGGGCAGACTATTTAAAAGCTCCCTGGATGGTGCATGCAGCCATGTGGACATAATAAGCTTTCCAGGTCAGTTTCAGCAACCCTCTTTGACTGTGGTGACCAAGGGGCTTCTGCTCCTTGCAGCAATCTGACTGTAGCAGTTGCTGTGGGGCACAGAGAAATGGTGGGTTTTCCTGTACCCATTACTACACACAGCAGGAGCCTGTGACAATATGAGTCAGATGTGACAATCATCCTCACAACAGTAATATTATAGAGGAGTTTGTGGGACCAATGAACATCTGAGTGACCTTGTTACTCAGAGATCTGGGCTCTACAGACTTGTAAGGAGACACCCCATGTTTGTGCAGATGTCATGTAGAATTTGCCCTTGCTCTAGTCTCATGGGACCATCTGAAGTCTCTGCCATTTCCTTTCTTCTTAGGAAAGGAAGAAACCAGTCACTTCCCCCTAAAGATTTGAGGAGGTAGACCCAGGGACATGCCTTGACCTCTTTCTTTTACTCCTAAGGACTGTGCACTTTTGAATTATCAAGAAAAGGGGAGGTTGGAGGAATAGGGAGGATTTTGTTTCCTTTTGCAACCAAGGCAGTGTTTCTCTATCAGAAGGGAAATTTAGAAAGACTGTGTGTCCAACTACCAATTCCAGGCAGGTGCTAGATCATTTGTAAATGATGATTACTGCCTTCATAATGGCCTACATTTCATGGCCTTCTGCCAGGAATATTTTGCTATCTGTTTGGCAGGAGGAAACTGAGGCCCAGACGACTACTAAAGGCTTTGCTTAAGGTCATGAGGTCCAAAAACCTTAGTATAATACCCTTTTACATACAGGGTAGCCTCTCAGCACAGGGCCGGCTCACATAATGATGTAATTTCCATGTTCCTGTGAATAGCTATGATAACACTTCTCAGTTCATATGGATTTTAAGAGACATAATTAAATAATAATCTCTTTTTGAGAGGACTTAATCAATGTAAGTGGCCTCAAAGCCATATCAAGATCATATTAATCTGTATTTTTAAAGTAAAATGTTTTAAAATTTTTAATGCAGTTTGTAAATAATATGTGCTCATTGTAGAAATTCTTGAAAACACAGAAAAGCTCAAAGAATAAAAAGCATCATCATTATAAAATACACTGATATGCGCATACACAATACATACATGATTCATACATGTGTATATTTACAAAGTCGAGATTTTTATATTGACTTGTGTCCTATTTGATTATTTGATGATGAACAATTTCTCATGACAATTATTCAATAATACAGTTTTCATGAATGAGTAAGTTTCATTTTACAGATATACCATGATTTAACTTTCTCTGTTGATTCCAGTTTTTACTATCATAAACACTACCATAACCATCTTCATGTATAAACATTTTTCCTATCTCTATTTCTGTAGGACAGTCTTAGAGTAGATTTCTAAAAGTAGCACTGTTAGATTATAGATGGTTTTTAAGTCTCTAGTTCTATGCAAGAAAATTACATGTCCTATTCTGAGCATGGAAATGCCTGACTTACCATATCCTCATTGACATTTAATATTATCATTTTTGTTTCTTTTTCTAAGAAATCATGACTTCCTTGATTCATTTGGGACTTACTTTTACATATAATGTAAGGTGAGACAATTCCTTGATTATTTCCTAAACATTCATCCAAATTTACCCAAAGCTTTTAGTTGAATAATTGATGTCTCTCCAACCTACAAGTGTTGTTTCCTCCAAATGATTGTTATTTTATTTGTTTTTCCAAGGATCTAATCTTGAATTTATTTATTACTCCCACTGCTTCCTAATCTACTATTTTATCCTTTC